TGTGCATGGATGTGCTATAGATGCTTCTATATAGAACCATTTTGAAAAAAAAAGCGTAACACCATAACAGAAGAACCCCTTTGGGTGCTATATAGAACCATCTCCAGCACATCCATCAGTCTGAACCATTTCATGATGCAAGGAACATATATATGTTGATAGCCTAAATCAGCTTATCAGGATGTAAGTAAATATTAAATATTAAAGTAAATATTAAACTCAGTTTGTACTGAATTCACATAAAAACACACAAAAAACTCTACAAGATATCAATCAAGATATTAATAATATATGCATGCTTGGTAGGACACACTGTTAGAACATCCCGGAATGAACCTGTGTGTAGCATGCTACCTGCTACTAGAACAGTGCCAAGTGCCTGCGAGGCAGCATGAGGCCCCCCAAGAGCCAACAAGAGCCACAGGAACCCGTAATGTCTAGCGGCACAGCCGCTGGACTCACTGGTCTCACATTCAAGGTCGGTAGCATCACCGTGGGACATGAAGGCTGAGGCGGGGTGGGGGGTGCAGGGGGGTTGGGGGGCAAGCTGACACTTGCTTTGCAGCACCAAGCTCTCCACGGTTATGGAAAAAAATAATTACATTACAAAAAAATAATTACATTGTTTTTGGTTCATAAACCTAAGCTACAGTTCCGTTTGTGGACTTCAGCTCAGCTGTGATCCTGAAGTGCACAGATGACACCACTGTGTTGGGCCTCTTAGCCAACAGTGATGAGTTTGCAGACAGAAAGGAAGTCGAGCAGCTGGTCTCCTGGTGCAACCACCTGCTGCGCAAAAGACTGCAGAGATGGCAGTGGACTTTAGGCACGACCACCCCTCATCATGACGTCACTCAGGTTCCTGGGCACCACCATATCCAGGGACTGGAAGTGGGAGAGAAACACAGCCTCCATTGCCAAGAAAGCACAGCAGAGAATGGTTTTCCTGAGACAGCTGAACAAAATTCAACCTGCCGCAGAGCCTGATGATCCAGTTCTACACAGTGGTCATCGAGCCCATCCTCACATCTTCCATAACCATCTGGTTTGGCTCCTCGACCTCACAAGAATGAGCCAAACTCCAGCGCATAATCCGATGCCAAATAATGCCGACGCTTCAGGACATCTACAACAGCAGGGTGATGGAGTGCAGATGACCCCTCTCATCCTGGACATCACCTCTTCCAGCCACTCCCTTCTGGTAGAAAATTCAGGGCCAACCAAACCAGTACAACCAGACAAGCTAACAGCTTCTTCCTCCAGGGTGTGGCTCTCTTTAACCACAGTAGCTCTTTCAACTTAAACTGAACCCAACTTCCTCCCTTACTGCATTAGTGTAACTCCTCTGTAACACAGTGCTTATTTGCACAACTGTACAAATGCTAAGTTTTACAAATGTTCATATCATTTTCTTATATTCTGTTATTATATTCTAGTCTCCTCAGACCATTTCTTTGGCTTCATTCACGCTGGCTCTTTCAATTCTTTCTTACTCTTTATTGTATTTATTCTATTTGTATGTTATCTGTGCCTTTGTTAAATACTCCTTAACAGTCTGTGTGCTTGTCTGGTCAGTTCAGTATGTTACGTGTCAAATGTGTGACTCATCCAGACAAATTCTTTGCATGTGTTACATAATTGGCGATAAGTGATTCTGATTCTGTGGCTGGATTCACGAAAGTGTAGAAAGAAAATCCTCTTTAATGTGGCATTTTTTTCTTAAGAAAAAGTTACGAAAAACTGCTATTCTTCAAATCACTTCTTAAAAATTCTTATTTTCTTAACTGTTTTCTTAAGAATTAATTTAATAACAAGTGGTATTCTTGAAGATAATGTGTTCTTAAATGTTTAATTAGCCTTACAATAGCCTGACACTCATCTCAGGCTGTAAGAGTTGACAAGGTGAGCATCTAAATTCATCAAACTCGGATGCAGCCTCTGCTGCTCCTCATCCTTCTCGCCTGCTTTCCGCCGTCACCCCACAATTATCATATTTTCCAAGGAGGATTTTTTCCTGTTGGCTGTTTCTTCCACCATCACCTCTAATTCTTGTTTGCTAATTTTTTAAACACTTGTTTCGGTGTCTTTCCCCCATTTTGCTCCTCTGAGCGGATTAACCCAATAATGGAAATAACAGTTCAAACACGATCAAAATGTGACTCGTATCATTTATGGTACAGGGTGAAACGTAACTTAGCCTCTATAAGAAAAAAATCTCCAGAAAATCTTAAGAAAATAAATAAGAATGTATTAAGAAAATATTTGAGAACTTCTTAAGTTTTTTTTTCCGAGAACTACATTTAAGAACATTCTTAGTGTTTGTCTTAAGAGCCTTTGTAATTTTTTTCTTAAGAAAGTTTTCGTGAATCCGGCCTCTGATTCTTAACCACAAACATTATCAGTGGCATTATTGGCATTTAAAGTGAGTTAACAGCCTCAACATTTGTGCACTGAATGACAACAACTGTACCACTTAATATATGTGTAATATATGCTTTAAATACCTTATCTTCTTCTAAACCTTCTTCTAAAGTTCTGACTACTGAGGCTATGTTTCTCTTATTAGCCTTATTCTGAAGCACATACTGAAAGCAAACAACGCAAATAAGCACAGGTGGATTTCACAAAGTAGGATTTCTCAGACGGATTATTTTAAGGGTAAATTCTGCCAGTTTTCCAGTATTTCTGGAGTCGTTCACAGTGGTTTAAAACTCACCTTCTTTCTCTACAATGCTGGTTCCAGGAACCAGGAAGCAGGGGGTCAGAGTACAATTAATATGTAAAATCCTACTTATTTAAAGAGGTGCAGAACTGAATGACAACAAATGGACAGAACAGAACAGCTGCAACTACTTCCTCCTTTCTTCCTGCGCCAGTTTCACAATTTCAATATATTTGTGATGCAAATTGGCCAGCAAACCTACACAGGTTTTTATGTGTAATACTGGTAGTTGTAAAATAGTAGGAAATACAATAAAATACATTTTCTGTTTTGTCTTACAACACCCCACATGTATATCTTTACCATGAATGGTAAAAAAATTTTAGGCCAGAATCTCAAAAACAATGTCTCAGGCATCAGGCAGGGTATTTGTAACCATTTCATGTAATACCTTTCTGTGGGGGAGCTTTTTGAGGCACTTTGGATGCCTGGTTCCTATAACAACCACTGTAAACTCGCCACCATGAATGAGTTTTAAAAAGGTTTGAGGCCAAAACTTCCTCTCAAAACTATGCTGTCTATGCAGACTATGCAGACATCAGGCAGCGTATTCGTAACCATTTCATGTAGTAACTTTCTGTGAGGGAGGTTTTAGAGGCATTAAGTGCTTTGGATGTCTGGTTCCTATCACCACCACTGTGTACCATTCTGACTCCAGATCAATCAATCTGAATGCATTTGTTTACAACTTTTACTTATGCAGAAATGTTGAAGTTGGTTTAAATCACTATTTAAGCCAAAAGTCATGAGAGGAGGTAAAGAGCACTCCTACTGAACAGCCTTTACTTTTGGCTTTGTATAACTGACATAAAACCCCTGCTCAGTTAAACAGGCTGGTGCAGAACTGAACGACAACAAAAATGTACAGGCGAATTCCACTGATTTTTGAAAAAATGTGTATAATTCAGTCATTGAGATGTTAACAAAGCCATTCAGAGTGGTTTGATATGAAAGGATTCATTGTAGAGAAACTTGCAGATTTTTTACAGTGGTGGTGATAGGAACCAGGGGTCACAATGTATATAAAGCAAAAAATACTATTTTATTTACAATCCAGAACCACAGGTGAACCAACACATGTTCCGATATTTTTATATGTAATGTTGATAACAGTAACATTGTGGTAAATCTAGAAAAATCTTTTGTGAGGGAGCTTTTAGAGCTTTTTAGGCACTTTGGATGTCTGGTTCCTATCACATCCACTATGAATGGGTTTCAAAAAAGTTTTAGGCCAAAACTATGCCGCAGACATCAGGCTACATATTCGTAACTATTTCATGTGATAACTTTACGTAAAGAAGCTTTTTAGAAACATTAAGCGCTCTGAACATCTGGTTCCTATCACCACCACTGTGAACAATTCTGACTCCAGAATGAGGTATTTCACATCAAATCAATCTGAATGACTTTGTCTGAATGAAACAAGTTTTCTTTCGGGACTATTTTGCCCTGGAACACTCTGCAGGTACCCCTCCGCCACAAATGGCTTTAAAAATATAGATTTTAGGCCAAATCTTTACCACAAAACTCACGTAAAACAATGTCTCTAACACCAGGCAGCACACTCGTCACTATATAACGTAATACATTTCAGTGAGGGAGCTTTTAGAGGTGGACGTCTGGTTCCTATCACCACCACTGTGAACAGCTCTGACTCTTCGTTTCTCTAGCAGGCAGCATTTCACACCAAACCACTCTGAATGACTTTGTTTACATCTTAACCATTTAATTATGTGGAGCTTCTGATAAATTATTGGAGTCCCCTTTAGCAGAAGATGCTTGTAACTTCTTCCCCCTTCCTTTCCTAACCTGTTTCACAATTTCACACAGTAGGCCTTTCTCAGCTAGATAGATAACTGAAGCCAAAAGTCAAGCCTGTCCAATAAGAGAGGAGGTGAGGAACACTCCTATTGGACAGTCTTCCAAGGCATGAATTTTCCAAACTCGAGAGTAAAATCCTGCTTTGAGGACCAGGAGACTCCCTCAGCTGCATGTGTAGCAATCCAGCCATCTCCTCTATGCTGCACGTCTGCTGCTTCACCTTAACCGTGTAAAATAAACATCAGCACGGCGTTGTTTTGGGGGGGAGGACCGCTGTGTGTGTCTAAGTGTGTGTGTGTGTGCGTGTGTATAAAAACAAAACCAGTCCCAGGCACGAGCTCGGTTTCTTTCACCCCCCTCTCGCCTCCGCGCACATCCTGCAAGCGTAGCAAAGAAGAAAGTGCGTCTGGAGCGGCCAAATGCGAGAAACAAGGCCATTTTAGCTGGCTCGCCTTACCCGTCTTTGCGCTTGGCTTTATAAACATGCCCGTAGGTGCCGCGACCCACTTTGCAACCTTCATATTCGAACAGATCTTCCACTCTCTCCCTCTCGGCGGCGAGCTTCGTTTTGAAGTCGTAGTCCATCGCGACCCATTAATATTTCTTAATTTTACGATAAAATAAAATATTAATTATTACGTGCATTAATTAAATAATCTGATCGCTTTATTCCCCCACCATTTCCTTGTTTGGGATTTTGGTCTGCTCCGCTTAATGTTCACTGGCTCGTTGAGGGTTTTTTTTTAAGGGTGCGAAACGGTTTCTGGGAAATGTAGTTTGCTCACGGCGAGGGGGAAGTTGAACGCAACGGACTCGGCGAACTTTAGAAACTACAATCCGCACAGCGCGCTGCGGCGATGTCACTTGCGTAGTCATGTTTGCTCTCAAAAAAAAAAAAATAAAAATATTGCAGAGACGGGAGAGAATTAATATTGCACGTATGTTTTGTTTATTCTGCACACATGTGCCAAGCTGTTAAAGTGAGACACCGTGAAAAGCCCTGCGATTAAAATCACGACCAGCCTCTTTGGATCGAACTTATAAAAATAACACATTTATCTATGACTGTTATAACATTATAAATAAGCAATTCTATGTACACCTCTGTGAAACTGTCCTTATTATCTGTCTTATATTAACATTTTTAACGGTTGAAGAAAATTGCGGTCTTTGTAGTCATATCTTTCTTCAATTTGTAGGTTTTATAGGTGAAAATCAGTTTGTTTGCTTGTGTTTTAACCCGCCTTTTTAATAATATCAACACTGTTTATCTTTTTATGCGTCTGCAGGAAGATATACAAACCAGCAACGGCCCACTCGTGACCGAATCATTCTTTTGAACCTTTTAGAAACCGAGGGAATCGATTCACAAGTCCCAACTGATTCGAGCATAGCATCTACGCCTCGTTTACGCCCGTGCTATACAGGTAGAAAATAAAATTAGAACAATTTTCTCTGTTAACAACTTACTCTAATAAACTGGCGAGATATTATTAGCAGTTCATTTTTTAATCGTTGGAATAGGTTTACTGAAACGGACAGTTCGTATGAATCGGTTCGTTTAATTGACTCGAGCTTCCTGTAATACAAACCTCAAAAGCCTTGTGCAGACGTCTTACGCAACGGTCAACTCTCAGAGTGACGGCGGCGAGGGCCAATCGGAAGCGGAGAAGAGGCGTATCTTCTATTGTGATTGGATAGGCTCGGACATGACGTAAGCGGGTAGGTTATAAAACCTCCGCTCGCCCAGCTCTCCGCGCTTACACAGTATGGCCGGCGATATTAGCTAGCACTCGCTCACGGTGTTCTCTGTAAAAGGGGAAGACGGTAAAAAACATTAAAAACCAACCCAAGAAATCAACGACCCGGACTGCTCAAGGACTGTACCAAGATCACTAAGTTATCTGCCCAGCAAAAAAGGACTTTAATAAGCTGAAAGCCCAAGCTACGTTTATTTTTTTCTTTTCTTTTTTTCTGTTGTTGGTGTCTTGTTTGTCTCACGATGGAGGAAAACGGTGCACACTTCTTCGAGGGGACCGAGAAGCTGCTGGAGGTGTGGTTCTCCCGGCAGGATGAGACCAAAGGAACCGGGGACCTTCGCTCCATCCCGAGGTTTGCTGGCAGATTTATCGGGATCAGGGTGTATGTGGGGGGCATGTGTAATCGGCGCTCTTGTCAGTCCATTCAGAAGACACTGTTTCCAGATAGAAGCATTAAATGTCACTGACTGGTGCTTAGATGAATGACCTGTCTTGCTGTTGCTTCGCTAAGGCACCATCCCTCACTGAAGCTGAAGTCAGCTTCCTATTCGCCAGCTTCTTGTCCGAATTTTCCCGTTCCACCTTAAATGGAGCAGGCGTCAGAATGTAACCGCTGCACCATTTAAGGTGGAACGGGGGAAATTCAAACAAGAAGCTGGCGATTAGGAAGCCAACTCCCCCCTCCCTCCAGTCAGTCATTCATTTGTGCTGCAGTAAAGCAAGTGCAGCTCTGATCAACTCAGCTGTCTACGCTTTTCACACAGCTGTGACTGTATTGTAGGCGTTTGCGGGTCGAATAACGACCAGCAAAAATAGCCTGGTTTTATTTTTACCTCAGGTTATGTGGAAATTTAGCATTTTGACAGAAAAAGCGTTTCGTGAAACTGAACGGCTAACTGTAACGCTAGCTACATCTGTTGGTTGAGATCTGTGGTGGCATATAGACTTATTTTGACTTTGTCTAAGATACCCGTCCAAGTTTAGTAACGTTAAACCAAGAAATTTAATGGTACAGATAGTTAAAAAGCTTATGTTGTTTATCCGAAATAAAGAGGTGACGAGGCAAGTCTGTTAGCCTGTTGGCTAACACAGTGTGGCGCGTTAACGTTACCAGACTGCACGGTTTGCTGAAATACCCCCGAAACGTTGACATTACGCTTTCGGTATCACTTCAGCAGTTTTTATGCGATATGTGACAGTCAGTCTGTGTGGTTAGAGTATTGAGAAACGGGTAAATAAAAGCTTAATTCCGTTTTTCTTTCTCTGTCTCGTGAAACGTGGGGCCTGCCGACCACGAACATGTGGCTGCGCCTGGCTGCCTCTAATGTGGTCGCTATTAATAATCTTAGACTCTTGTTCTTTAGTAAAGTAGATGGACCTGTTTAGAACCACGAGTCCTATACAGAACCATTCCATGCTTAAATAGTCCCTTGCATGGTGAAATGGTTCTTCAGATTGATGGAGAATGTTCTATATGGAACCGTTTTGAAAATGGTTCTATGTAGCACCAAAAAGGGTTCTTTTCTTGTTGCAAGCTTCACATTGTAACAGTAGAAAAACCCTTTTTGGTGCCATGTAGAACCCTTTGTAAATAGGTAATGCATAGAACTACATACAATCAATCACCATGCAAAGCACTACTTAAGCATGAAATAGTTCTGTGTAGAAATAGTGGTTCTAAACAGGACCACCTCCTTTAGTAAAGAGCCCTTGAAGAACCATCTTTCTTAAGAGTGTAGTAATGTCCAGTAGTAAAGCTCATATTGATGGTGATAATGGAATTAACTCATATTTAACTCTGAAACCTGTGTACGCCGTAACTGGAGCTTAAGAGGAAAACACTGTGTAAAAGGTGTCCAAGATCAGCCCACAGGCAGGACAGGGCTAAAACAATGTTGGAGTGCAGCTGAAGACTGCCGCATTGCCAGCCTGTCACATACAAACGATTTACAGCACCTGCAGTAGCTTGGCTAATGCCCAAGAGTTGAGAGAGCTTTCTAAATGAGCAGTTTTCCACCAGGATACCAGTGGGAATCTGGTTCTGTCACGCATTAATACGTAACTAGACTCTATTTATTACCAGTTATGTGGTATCTTGTCTTTTTGGGCACAGGGGATCTGATGTTTAGCAAAAAATAGAAATTTGATTGTAAACAAAAGCATGAAAGTTACATCTGACCACTGTTAGATGTTCATCCGAGGCACAAAGTTTCATCACTTCAGACCAATCAGAATGAGTATTTTATCATACTAAATGAAGCTAAATGTCATATCACAGTGCTTCAAGAAGTTTACATGATACACAATGTGTCAGTATATATCTGTTCTTCTGACATCTGATAAATTGGAAAAGACAAAGTAGCACCACATAAAAAAAAGCTTTTAAAAACTAGAAATACAGTGATTCATATTCAATGCTGCACAAAATCCAATAAAACAGGACTAATGATGCTCTCTTTGTAATCAAACACGCAGTTGGGAAGTTTTAAGTATTGACGACATGCACAGAAAAGACCCATTGCGGCATATCGTAATGCAATTTATCACAATAATAATAAATATAGTCGTATTATCTAAATCTATTAAGGTGATTCACCTGGCGCTACAATTTTTAGATCTTTTCCTGCTCTGACTCACTTGAATCAGCTCAACAAGCTATTCATGAGGTTAAATCAGCTGTTATAGTAGAGTAGACGGCCAAATGTGCAGTGCAGGACCATGACTGGGAAAAGCAGTGCTCTGCCATGTGAAAGTCACGTTTTTCCTTCATGGCGCGTAATCTCCTCCTTGTGGCCTGATTGGTGGAGTGCGACCTCAGCCCAGTTTTGACCTCCAGAGATCTGCCCCCCCCATTCAGCAGTATGAAATGTGGTCCTGTCCCCCGGCGGCGCTCATTGATCCTGCAGTGTGTAGTGTTGACTCCTGTGATCCTTGTCAAAGAGAGTGTTTGGCTGCTAGTTCCAATATTCATATTGCTTTTGGGTGCATGTATCAGTCCCAATGTGTGTCTGTTCAGCTAATAGATGTCCAAAGCAGTTTATTTGATACTGTCGTTGAGTTAAGCTCATGTACACTGTTGTTTGCCACAGTTGTACTTACTACAAAAGTGGAGGAACATTAACTGGTCTGCAAATTGACCTTAAATGGCATGCAGATTAAAGTGCTGTTGTAATAGAATATATCTCTGGAATGGTAACTGTGTGGCAACTGTAAAGATGTTCTTAACTGTAATAAAAAGTGGGAAAAATGGTGTTTATATATCCTTTTTTGCCGTTTATTTAATAACCATTTGATTATTCCTCAAATCCAGTCCACAGTACTCCTTCCTTTGGCTTTCTCCTTTGCTGCAACAGACCTTATTGAACTCTGGCTAATTATAAGGCTCGTCATGCCTAGAATCAGACGCGGTCAAGCTGGGAAGGCATTAAGCTGCTGTGCTCTGGCCATCCAGGAGTGGATTCGTGGAATAGTGATCACTTGGCCACTTGCCAGATTACTCTGCCATCTTCTTGAGCTGTTCCTTCTCGTTCTCTGTGACTCCCTGGAGAGCCTGCCTGTTCTTGGCACTGGAACCCGATAACTGTAGCTATGGTTTCCAGGGGGGGTCAGAATGAATGACGAGTGGTATTAGCTTACAGCCAGGGAAGATTAAGCGCTCACAGAGACACAGGGAGAGGATCATGAGTGCTGGAGCTCAGCCAATGGCCAAATAAGTCCACAAGGGCATCCAATTCACAAAACTACCCCTGCCTCTCTGTATGAGCATGTGAGGGAGAACCTCTTCAAACAGGACAGCATGATTGTTTCGGTACTATGACAGATCAACGCCTTAATAGTTTTTGGAGTTAACTGAGTGCTGTGTAGTGGTTTAATTATGACTCAAACCACAGGACAGTAATGCAGCAAAAACAGTGCCTGAAAATGTGCCTCATGGTAATGGTTCAGTTTTCGTTTCACTAGATCTGCAGCGCCTGAGACTTAGAGATGGTACAGTGGAGTTTTATTTGATCCATTCAGACTGGTTTCTTAGAAGCACAAAAGCTGTGCTTTTTAACATACAGATCTCACATGCTAGCAGTTTTAGCCCTGAGCTAACACATTAGACACAAACTAACATGCTAGCCGTGTTGCAATATTATACGTCAAACTACAGTACATTATGTTGTATTGTTATACCTCTACGCAACTGTACGTCAGTTAAGTTAAAAGAGTATTTTTTTGAAATTTCAGAAATGCCACTATGAACTTCATTTAGTATTTTATCGTAGTAAGTGATAGTAAATGTACTATTACAATACTTAAAGAAGTTTGCATGATACATGTCAGAAAATATATCATACATATTTTTTTCTGACATCTGACAATTTGGAAAAGACAAAGCAGTAGCACATAAAAAAATTACTATCAAAAAACTAGGAATATAGTGATTCATATTCAGTGTCTCACATGCTGCACTAAATCCAATAAAACACGACTAATGATGCGCTTTGTGATCAGACATGCAGTTGGGGGGTTTTAAGTGTTGACTGTATGCACAGAAAAGACCTATTGTGACGTATTGTGACGTAATGTATCAAAGAGAATAGCCACCTATCAGAATCTTGCAAATAGCATTGTGCTAATTGGTGGTTACTTGTTTCCATTCGTTGCTGCCCATATTAGCATATTTAGCTGAGCAGCTGCTTTAAGTACTTAGCGCTGTTGTTGGAACAAAACCACGTATCTCCAAAATGGTAACTTTACAGAAGAAGGAAAAAAACTACTTTACTTTTAATGTACGTCAATGGAACCAGACTTCTTTCCAAGTCGTTTTGGGCTGTTTCTTTTGGTCCATTCACCATGACTTTTACAGACAGTGCAAAGAGCAACAGGCCTTTTCAGATTATGTCAAAAACTGAGATACAAGGTTTTCTTCTGACAGCAGCATTATGTTAACGTTAAATCTGTATGCTGTCTTTTGGTGTTTGTGTTGGGGACAAGTCAGATCTTCTGAATATTCGACTAGTCATGAACGTTTTGAAGATCAAACAGTTTTCGATAAGAAGTTTAGCCTCTCTAAAAATAGTACAGAGCACAGCTGTAGCACATAGGAAGTCATGCAGAAAAACACTGATGAGCTTCAGTTTGCATGCCATTCTCAGGAAATAAAGGGTAGGAGACGCAGTGTGACTTATTTTTTATGTCTTACAAATTCAGATAACAAATTTGACTGAAATACCCATCCCTGGTGTTTGTGATCTATTGTGGTTGAGCGGTTGTGGTTAATTAGAATGGTTTGCTATTGATTTGTGTTCACGTGGTCTCGGGGGCTGTCAAAGTGAGCAGTGGCTTTCCACCGTCTGAGCTATTCCTGCTTCATCTCTCCACACACGTCTCTGCTAAAGCTGCCACTATGAGCCTCCCTAAAATAGCAGCAGTGTCGGCTTCCCAGGGGCAGGCGAGAAGGCCGATGGTCTGAGTTTGAGTTGCAGAGCCTGTGGCCAAAAATACTAGCGCTACGATGTGGCATTCTAAGAATTTGGGTCGGGACGGCTGTGAATCGCTGGGAATATTGAGTAATAGCAAACCCTTCTGGTGATAATTCTCTTTTTATTTCTTTTTCTTTTTTTATCACTCTGAGTAAACTAAGCATGAGGGTCTGCAATTCAGTTCCTTACTCTCATAACTTCTAACTACACATCTTAAACAATAATTTATAGTAGTTTTGGGTGGGCATGTCTTTAGATTAGTAACTGAATTATATTCCTATGGTTTAAAGGGTTCAAATGTACTGCATTATATTTAGCTATATGTTCATTTATTTTAGATGGGCCTATCACATGGCTTGTATTCTATTTTAGAGACTCACTGTGTGGCAAGATGGAATATTCATCATTTTCAATACTGCGTGTCAGCAGCTGGTCAGCAGCCTTCAATGCTTGTGTCTGCTGAGTGACGCCAACTGCTACTAGGGAGCAAATGGCCTCGCTGATGAGCACGTACCACACAGTGAAAGCCTAAACCGCTGCAGTGCATGTGGTCTCTGCACACTCTGCAGCACTGTAGGCCGAATCATTAAACAGCATTTCTTACTGTGAGATTTATGGCTTCATTTAGCTGCAGAGGATGAACTCTGTAGTCTGATTACACTGTGACATGAAAAGTATGGTAGCATTGCAAACTCAGTGGCTACATCAGATGGTGGGTCTTGTCTTTAATTAGCTCATGGTGCTGTGCAGCAGTTCGTGCATTTCATTTAGCAGTGCATCTGCAGTGTCGCAATCAAGCATATGTATTTCATTGTCAATTGACCAGAACAGCAGTAACCAATCCGTGTGGTGAGGACAAAGTCCAGTCGCACTGTTAGATGGGCATTCTGATAAAGCTGGCGTTTCAGCTAAATGAACTGTCCTTAGCACTCAAAATGATCAAGTGCTAGCAGTGATAAAGCCTTCAAATATTTCAGCCATCTTCGGAATTGCGAGAATGTCTGGATGGTAATCTAACAAATACATAGGCTGGGTTTCTGTTTACATCTAGGTTAGCATTCATTCTGAAATGTAGACTATTTGTTAAAATAGTGTCATTTTTAGGGGTGCTCTAATGTAATTTGTGGATTGATTGCTTATGTTCTGATGCCATTTATATTTTAAAATGTATGAAATTGCATCTCTGCTTGGGTAGCATTACAGAGAAATATATCATTTATTTCTGTAGGGTTACAAATGCAGCAAAATCAATCATAATAACATAGTAACCCATCATCACTTAAATGTTCTGTCCTTGCAGGATACATTAAATATCAGTTTAAAATATAAGTCAAATCTAAACAGTTGTCCAATGCTGACAGCTTCTGTGTTGTTTGGGGTTGAGATCAGGGTTTGAATTGGGGTCAGGGTTATAGAAAATTAAGGTGAATTTCATATATACACTATCCAAATTATGTGGACGCCTCGCCTAATTGTTGAGTTCAAGTGTTTCAGCCACACTCGCTGCTAACAGGTGGATAAAATCTAGCACATAGTGCTTGCAGTCTCCATAGACACATACTGCCAGTTTAGTGGGTCATACTAGACAACATGGCACTGTGATAGGATGACACCTTCACCACCAGTCAGTTTGTGAATCTGCCACAGTCAACGATAAATGCTATTAATGTGAAAGGGAAGTGTCTGAGAGCAACAACAGCTCAACCATGTAGCGGTAGACAACGCAAACTCCCAGAACGAGCTTCGTTAAATGGGCTATATGGCCAAGCAGCTGCACACGAGCCTAAGACGAAAATGCACAGAGTAAGGTACACCATCGCTGGACTCTGGAGCAGTGGAAATGTGTTTTCTGTCGTGATGAATCATGCTTTATTTTCTGGTAGTCTGAGGCATAAATCTGGGTTTGGCAGATGCCAGAAAAATGCTACCTATCCGCCTGCAAAATGCCATCAGATAAGTTTGGTGGAGGAGGGATAATAGTCTGGCGCTGTTTCAGAGTTTGGGCCCCTTAGTTCCAGTGAAGGGTGATGTTAATGCTACAGCATACAAAAACATTTTTAGACAATTATATGCTTCCAACTTTGTGGCAACAATTTTGGGAAGGCCCTTTCCTGTTACAGCATGATTGTGCCCCTGTCCAAGTGAGCTGCATAAAGACATGGTTTGTTGAGTTTGGTCTGGAGGAACTCCAGTGGCCTGCAGAGCCCTGATCTCAACCCCACTGAACACCTTTGGGATGAATTTGTACACCAAATGCAAGCCAGGCATTCTCGTTCAACGTGACCTTGTTTGACTGAATGGGCATAAGTTCCCACAGACACACTCCAAAATCCATCCCAGATGAGCGATAGCTGTTATAGTTGCAAAGGAGGGGCAAAGTCTACATGAATCCCCATGGTTTTGGAATAAGATGTCAAACAAGCTCCCACGATGTATAGGTGTCCACACACTTTTGGCCATGTAGTGTATATAATTTTGTGCAAGTTAAATGCAAGTAGGCTATAAAAATGTTACCAAAGATTGTATTGCTTACATGTTGCAAAATGCTACTTGCCAATTTTGAAGCAAGAGGTTCAATGTATTCCTGAGTGTTGACATGGGTTTTCTTTTGCTTTGTGCTTTCCAGGTTTGAGTGGGACAAACTTCTGGAGAATGTGCATTGTTTGATCATAAGTGTGACAAAGACTGACAAGCAGGAAGCTTATATACTCAGGTGAGTCTCATACAGAATGAGATTGGGATTATCCTTTAATCTTTGTTTCAGTTGTCACTGCCCTTCAAGTTCTTACTGCAAAGTTGTGTTAAATTTAAGCAACACTTCAATCACAAATCCTAATGTTGCCAGAAATGAAAAGTTTCAATCAAGAAGCAACATTGATGTATACCAAGCTAGCATCGTCTAGACTAAAGCTCTGTCCAGGAACTGGACCTTGGTTGGAGAAGAGAAAAGAGGGGAATGAATGAACTGCCTTTTAATTAACCTTTTAATGAATTAACTTTTTTAAAAATAAAAACACTTTTTGTAGCTTGTAAACACTGAAGTTCACTCACCAGTCTATACAGTCCATATGTGGAAAATAAGCTGCAAAACAGCCCATTTTGAATGAATTGTTTGTGACGTGGCAAAAAACCAACACATTTACGTACATCTGCTCGCTCTGCCTACAGCAGTTTAGCCCCGCCCGTTCATGCTGAAGTTATGAGGTGTGTTTCAGCACGGACTGCTATTTTAAAGTGGCAGACATTTAGAACAAAGGTCATTTACATATATATCAGTTTTAAAGGCACTGTAACCAAAATAGCCTGTTTAACTCTAAGAAATAAAGAGATTGGAAAATTGTCAAGTAAAAATAAATTGACTGTCTTTGGAACATAAAACAACTCAAATATGTTGAGGGATCCTCAGTGGGGAAAAAGAAGATGCAAGAAAAATCTGGACCCTTTAATTAAAATGAAGGATTTATGCACGTTAGGACTGTGAACCAGTTATTCCTGTTTGAGTTTCAGAGGAAGGCTAAACTCCACAGCTCTGTTAAATCTGCTGGGATTCTAACACTGAAGGAAAAAAACGATTGCCCCACCTGTTCAGAGTATTTCAGGCTCTTTGTACTGGCTGCGCTGTCTGAAAAGCTGTATCTATATGTGAGAGACGTTCAGAGTCACAGACTATCAGTAGGCTTTAGCGGAGATGTGAGAGCCGTGTGTAGGTGTGCGCATGTACTGTCTACCAAGGTTAGAAAGTGGAAGCTAAGTCTAAGAAGACTAGACAAAGCTGTTTACTGTGGCAGTTGACCAGCAGCGTCCTAGTGGGAGGGGTGGGGTCAAGGTGAGCGTGTTGGTAGTTTGAGGTCAGAGTTTTCATGTCAGTTGTTCAAAAACATCTATTCTTAACCCTAAAGACTTATATTTGCACTCACTCTTCTGTTCCTGAGTCTCAGTACTGCTTATTTTAGTTAGTATAGTAGTTACTGAACAATTCATAGTACTCTGAATAACAAGCCTGCAGTTGTTGGGGTTAAACAGTGTTGAAATGGTAATGTACTTGTGAAAGTGATAATGCTGATACATTGGCCTCAAAAGGTATTTAGACACTTTAACTGCTGGTAAACATTAATAACATTATTTAGGATGCTTCATAAAATGTTTAACAAAATGGTATTTCAGTAAAAAACACTTAGCACATCAAACTGATGTTGGATTCTTTGTGAGGAGAATACCTGGAGAAGAACCCCTAGCAAACTGCACTATAAGGCTATTATGAAGCACAAAGCTGAAAACATCAAAGTCTGGGTCTGTTTTTCTTACAATGGTGTTGGTGAGCTTGTGTTCACTGTTGGGATCATGAACTGAGAAGTGCACAGTCTTTTTTGGATGCAAACCTGCTGAAAGATACCTTTACCAGAAAGAAAATTAGTCTTGGGCCCAATCCCATTTCTTCTTTTTACCCCTTCCCCTTACTTTCGAGGGTCACCCTAACCCCTTGGAACTGAGGTTCAAGGGGGTAGTGGTTGAAATCTTGTCCTACGAAATGAGACCCTCAAATTAAAATCTTCAGTGAAAGCAGAAGAGGATAAAGTTCAGCAACTTCACTGCTGGGCTTTAGTTACATTTAGGGCATCATATGCTGTCAAAGAGGGGGGATAATTATCGCCCACCCCTAATTCTTTGGTGATACAAAGCTGAAGTCAGCTATTCACCAGCTTCTTTTCGAATTTTCCCGTTCCACCTTAAATGGTGCAGCAGTTACATTCTGGAACTTCAGGCGTCAGAACTGCTGGACTGTTTAAGGTGGAACGGGAAAGTTAGCTAGCTAGATAGCTACCGAGACATTAGCATGTTATTAGCGATTTTTTTTATGCTTGTTATAAGAAAACGACCATAATATATTGAAAAGACATTGAACTAAGAATACAATGAAAATCGTAATTTTTTTAAATTTTTTCTTTGGTCTCTTGCACAGCCATCTTGCCGGTTTTTTGTTTTTTTCTCATAACACTCCATTTAGACTGAGCCTCTGAAAAACCTCAGTTTGGAGGGCCATGTAGCCCTAACACTTCGCCCTACCCCTCTATCTCAACAAAAATTGGGACACCCTACCCCTAGACGAGAATGCGCACGTGTTTCCCAACACAATGAACTTAATACCTTAAGTATGGCACAAATACTTTTTGGGGCCCTTGTATGAGCTACCTAAGTGTTTGCATTCATCTTGTTTTTATTACGTGGCTGTGCTTAGCTTATCACTGTTTAATTTAGTATAGACTGATTTTAAAGAGCAAAGCATCTGAAAACTTTTGTGTCTGTTTTCTCTCCAGTGAGAGTAGCATGTTTGTCTCCAAGAGACGTTTCATTTTGAAGACATGTGGAACCACCCTCTTACTGCAAGCGCTGGTGCCCCTGCTGGAACTGGCGCGGGAATACTGTGGCTTCGACACCATCGAGGTGTGTGTCTGTGTTCTCTCTCACGCTCATCTCACACACACAGATATACTACAGCCTTGGCATCACACCTACCTACCACACACCCCATCAATCTGGGCTGGTCTTCAGGGCACTGCTTAAAATATTGCTCCACTTTGTGTTAAAGAATTTTTGCTGAGCTAAGGCTCGAGTTGAATTGAGGACAAGATTGTGAATCACCTATATACTTCATCCATTGTGATTTACAATCAAGTTGGGTGATTTAAGGCTCGATCAGACGATGGTATATTGCCCACAATCTCACACCTAGTTGAGCACAAGGGTAGCAGAGATATGAGCATGCAGTCATCATGAGTGGTATTTTCTAGACATGCTTTCTGAAACCACCATATTGCAGACCTGTCATTACTACAGTGGCTTTAAAGGATGCCGGTCTTGCTTAAGCTTGGAGTCAGATGATTTTGTTCCAGACGCTGACCAAGTAAAAAAGAAACCCTAAGAATACTAATAAAGCCAATGCTAGACTTAAGCTCTGATCAGGAATCCAAACTGATAAGTGATGAAACAGATGAATAAATTGTATTAATTTATTATTTATGTACTGCTCAAGTCTTAGTAGTATGAGATTCTTCTGTAGTACTTCAATTAAGTATAAATTACTCAAACACAAACATGGCCAGCGATGGAAGTTACTGGTAACCAGCAACGGTGGCCTGAGCACACAGTGTGCTCTCAATACTTGTGTTCATTCTTTGCAACGCTAGCATTTTTGAGTAAAACATTCATTGGTGTCCTGAAGACCAGCCTCATGGAGCAGCAGCTGAGCTCTCTTTCCTTCCCTGTCATGTAGAACTTCTTCTACTCTCGTAAGAACTTCATGAAGCCTGCCCACCAGGAGTTCCCTCACCGTAACTTTGAGGAGGAAGTGGAATTTCTCAGCCAGATTTTCCCAAGTATGCTTTGACACTCATCCAAAACTAGTACTAATATAGTATAATTTTTTCCACAAGTTATACAACCGTATTTTGGCCTACAGGTCCAGTTGAAAATTCATAATCCCAGTGGGTTTAGTCTGTTCCATAAGCCAAAATTCAGTTGTGCAGCTTTAGGAAAGGAAGCTTCAGGTGAACAGTTCTCAGTTCCTGTTTCAGTATGAATTGAGTCCTCACATAACTTTTCCTTCCACAGATGGAGCAGCCTACTGTATGGGGCGTCTGAACTCTGACTGCTGGTAGGCTCTGATTTCTCACTTATGTTTCTAGACCAAATGGGCTATGCCATACATTAGCATAAAGGGCAGTTTGTTTAATTGGTATTCACCCATGTTTAAGTTGAGTTTGTTTGTTTACTAGGTACTTATTTACTCTGGAGCTGCCAGAGTACTGGGAGAACAAGCAGGCAGACCAGACGCTGGAGGTCCTGATGAGTGATCTCGACCCAGCTGTAATGGACCAGTTCTACATGAAAGACGGTGTTTCCGCTAATGATGTCACTCGTGTATGTACATTTTCCTTTTTTTTCCCCCTCCAAGCTTTGTCATGATGGTGTTCAGTAATCTATGTATGCTCAGAATGTCATTGTTCCAGGACAGTAGTTTGATTCTGACAACAGCAATCAATACTGCTGGATTGTATGCTAACAGTAACAGTGCCTTTCAATACTACCCCACTTTAAATCCTGCTGTTTGTTTTGCTGTCCCTCTCCACAGATGAGTGGAATTCGTGACCTGATTCCAGGTTCTGTGATTGACGCCACAATGTTCAACCCTTGTGGATACTCCATGAATGGAATGAAAACAGATGTATGTAAATATTTTAAAGCCCAGTCCTCAGTTCCAACTAAGACCACAAGTCTGCATTTAGAATCTTTTCCAGGTCCCAACATATGAATCAGCAGTCTTTAATTACCTGTTTCCAGTCTCCTAAACACAGACCTTCTGAACCTAGAACATAGAATAATGTTCATTCAAACTGTGCATTTATAAGTGGTGTATGTCCTTTATCAGGTAATAGAATTGCATTGTCTTTTTGCAGGGAACTTACTGGACAATTCACATCACCCCTGAACCAGAGTTCTCCTACGTTAGTTTTGAAACCAACCTCTCCCAAACATCCTACGATGATCTTGTCCGAAAAGTCGTGGATGTCTTCAAGCCAGGGAAATTTGTGACTACGCTTTTTGTTAATCAGGTATAGTGATGGCATCTCTCTCCAGCCTCAGTCAAGAATTGGCCACTCGACTCAGTCCTGGGTTCACAAACCATAGTTTGCCTCGTCTTTTTAGATGCTCTGATTTAAATCTGCATGAAAAATAATCCATTTCCATTTGACACAAATGATTAATTTTGCAAGCCTTTATTCATCCGTCTCTTCTTTTTGCTGTTTTCGTGGCAGAGCTCCAAGTGTCGCAGTGTCTTCTCCTCTGCACAGAAACTCGAGGGCTACAGGCGCCTGGATCGCCAGTTGGCCCACTTTAACGATTACAACTTCGTCTTCACCAGTTATGCCAAGAACCAACAACAGAGCCAGCAAAGCTGAAGCACATCGATGAAGAAGCGTAAAAAGAAAGCAGCCGGGCGCAGGCAACCCTTCTGCGTCTGGCTGCGTCCTCTGTCGCTCTGCTGCTGTTTGGAGTCTTGTTGCTGTAGCTGTATCACAAGTTTAACCTGTAAGCATTCTCGTACTGATAACGTAGATATCTTGCATGCAAGCTCCTGTTGTGTCTGTGTAGATATTCTAGCTCACTCTTGCTGTGATCTTGAAGTGCATGTAGAGTTATTAAGCAGGGTGTGTGTGAGGCGTGCCCCACCGGCCCGACACGCACGACGCTCCCTCCCATTCCTGCAGGTCTCCCCCCTCATCCTCCACAGACAGGGTTTCCGCCCCCACTAGGCAAGGGCCCTGACATGCTCAGATCCGTCCTGTCCACTGTGTGGGCTGACCTTTCCCCAACATAGTCCGTACGCATACTGATCGCTTAGAATTTACATTCCACACTTGCGCAAATGACAGTTGTAGTGGCCCGACTCTTGGTGCCAGTGTTTGATTGGGATATTCCCCTCTTTTCTCTTGATGTTTTAGCTGTGATTTCGTAAGTAATTAGACATCAGTTACACACATAGTAGCCTTGGTTATGTGTATCATGGCATGAGGACATTCCCAAAGGGAGCAATACAAATAATGCATAATAACAATATTAAGATGTTTTTTGTGTAATTTAATAATACAATATGTATTGTAAAGGCCTTTAAAAAGAAATGTATGTAACACTTAATATGAAACTGCACTTAAAACACCAAAGCGCCACACCAAGGCTTCTTTTACAGCACTTTTAAACGCCATTCTTTTTCTTTCCCCTCCTTTCTCTTTGTCCTTGCTGAATGTAAAGCCATGGGGGGGGGGAACTAAAGCTGCAGTTCTGAATGTTTCAATGTAGAAGTGCTAAGAGAAGTCCTGAAAGGCCTGTGGCGTTGAATGTAAGACGGCGTTACACGTGTGTGTATTTTAGAATGTGTGAATACAGCTCTCTGCCGTCCATTGTTGCTCTCGTTGTTCAGGACCCCTGGGGCTGCCCGATGCAGTGCCCGTTAGCACTGAGCTGTGTGCAGGCCACCCCATGCTGAATTGAAACAGTGGGACAGACACTTTGCTTAGTCCAACGATCGCACAGCAAAGCATTTTTCTTTTTCTAAACAATGTGTCCACTCTCTCTCTCTCCCTCTCCCTCTGTACTGAATTTGGTAACCACACAATAGACACGCACAGATCTGAGCATGCCAGGGTTCTCCCGGATCATTCCACACTTAACAGTTGCATAAACTGCCGTTTTATTAATTTTATTGTGCGCCCCCCGTGTAGACAGTTTTTTTGCAGTGAATCGGTCCAAAATGTGACTCCATTGTCAGTCTTTTTTTTTTTCTCTCCCTCTCTTTTTTCTGTCTTTGTTTTGGCCCCCTTTGTCAAGCGAGGGAAAGATCGTGTCCCTGTGCTGCATGCAAATAGTGCTGTAGAGGCGCACTTAGGCTGTCCTATGTGTCAGCCTCAGCTTTTTTTCTATAAGTGTACAGTGCTTCGTTCTCTCCTCTTTCTCTGAGTATCAGCCAGCGTTAAGGCCTTGGTTAGGATGTTTTTAGAGTTCATTTCGGTTTTCCTGGTTTTCTTTTTTTGGACTGGTGGTGTAAAAGATGCCTTGTTCTGACTTTGGCATGATCCTTTTTTATACAGCAGTTGATTTTGATCTCCAGTCTGTTAAATCAGTAGACTGACTAGATACCACAAAGGTAAATGTAATTTCATGTAATGTAACTCTAACATCCTGATAGGGGCTTTAAAGCCTTTCGCGGTCTGGTCAGGCTCAGGCTTGCAGGCTATAGAGTGCAGGTGAGATGCCGGTTGCTGGTTTATTGGAACTTTTCAGTTCTCTGAGCGAGCCTGGACTGTATGTGTGTTTGTGTAAAGCCATATCGACGGTGGTGATGGGTGCTGTTGGAGTTGCTGAGGATGGTTCTTTCCCTGTTGCGATGTGTCCACCTATCACAAAGCCTCTTCAACCAGAGAGTGCCAAGTGAGATGGGTTAAATAGGTTGCAGCCAAAATGGGGAGATGAGGCGTTCTCCCAGTACTGAGGTGTTTAGCCCTGGTTCTGTATTCTGTAATACGTCCTCTGCAAAAAGCCCTTTCCAAGTCACAATTCTGCTGTTTGAACTGAATCATTATCTTGCGTTGTAGGTCTCCTGGATTTGCATTAGACTTAGTCCTAACACCGTCACCACTATAATCAGTTCCAACATTAGGCGTGATCTGTAGGCTGTTCTTTTGAGTGCCGGAAGATTCTCCTCCTTTCCATCCTGAGCGAGATCACGGTTTCATTTAACAGCAGAACTGATCCAGAAATAGCACCAGGGCTGCAGTCTTCAGTTCTCTGACTGAAGTGGATGAGATTTACAGATCCTCTGATGCATTGCAGTCAGAAAGTGTTTTTAAAGCAAGGATGGCTTTAATGTGGACCATTTGTAGAAGCAGGTTGTTCAGAATATAAATGAGATCGAACTGAGTTGGTCTTTGGAGTTCAGTCCGTTTCTGGCTGGATATTTGGGTTGAAAGTACTCCTACGAGGGTGGTTTCGAGCATATTACTATTTGCTCAGTTTTTTTTTAATACTTAAGTGTTTTGTTTTTTTTTTCTTCACTATACAAATTTTGTGAGGGATGCCTTTTTATTCTGCGGACCAATTTGCATTTGTATTTTCACCCTTTTTTTGTCTTTTTTCCCCCCCTTACACCTTTTGTAAACTAGTGTTCCAAAGGGTGACCACCTGGTATAAATTGGATTTATTTTTTCCTTTATGTCTCCTCTCTCCTCCCCTAGAAGGCTGCGGTGCTGCCTCTAGGGCAGGGGAGATGTAATCATAAGGAGTAAAGTTAGGCTACTGGTGCTGCAGGACTTTGGTCTGGATGTTGAGGAGGGAAAGGGAAACTTTGCTGTTCTAATTCTCTTGCTATTTCTTTGGTTGGTCAAGATGTGCTAAATATCTGTACTATGAGCTTGATGCTTTAAATAAAAAAAAATAAATGTCAGCCGTTTCCTGTGTGACTTTTGTGTCTTGGTGATTATTGCTGCATTACTTTGCATCTCTCTCAAAGCCATTTGTGAATTAAATACAACACATGTCCAAGTGAAATGCAGTACTGGGGGGGTCTCAGAGCAGGCTGAGTGACTGGAGAGGGTAGTGGGAAAGGAGAGATGAAACATGCTGGGCAATATTTCCCCCTGACAGCTTGTGCACAGTGATGTAATCCAAAATGAGGCCAGCAAAAGTCATTACATTTTTACAGATTACAGGAATACAAGAATTTTGTCTTTTAAATGGTATACGATTCATTGTACTGATGACCAGGGACAAACTAACAAGTTAAATTTTCATTATGATTTTATTAACTTAAAGTAAACATAAAACGAGATATTGTAGTTTAGTATAAACAGGATGATTGAGTTTTTGAATAGAAAACTAAGAACCAAACCACAAGCTTATGGTTCAGCTGCTCTCACTCAACTGTTGTGATGTTCAGAAATCAGTAGTGTTCATCAGTGTGAAATGGCTGTACACATTAAGCACTGTGCACTGAATAGAAGTGGACAAACGTCAGGATATCTAGGCAATTGTACTTAAAGAGCACATCAGTTTGGAATTAAAGCCCAGTGACTCCCACCAGGTCCACTGAAGAGGCTTCAAGAGTGAAGTCTTCAATATTAGACCCATCTTAAAGCAAACGGCACAAACTGCATTACAAAAGCCCATTCGTTATTGTGCAAAATAGAAAAATCAATATACTAATCTACTTTTAATAGCAACTGCAAGCCCACTTCTTGTGCACTGTAAGGCTGTTAGAAAAACGGTCACAATTAAATGAACAGTTTTTTCTATAAAGGCCAATAAAAAACATTTATTTATTTAATTCCTTATGGTGATGCAGATTTGTTGTGACAGTAGCCATTACTGCTTTACACGTTTCGTATACACACACATCACATTTGTCACTCACTCTCCATACAGGAGACCAGGGTTCAAGACTGGCTCATGGGAACACAGCACTGCTCTAATATTAGACACGGATCCTGATGCTACATTCCTGCCAAAATATTTACGTCACTCTGGTGCTGCTTGTTAAATGTAAAAGTTTCTAAATGCTGAGTTTACCAAGTATTGGCATGCATATAAACAGATTTAAAGCATCAATGGTGTCAGGAGAGAGTTTGTTTAAAAGTTTATAAGTGGTACAAAGCCAAAAACAAAATTCCTGAAGAAAAATCTGATATGATGGATGACTAGGTATATTACAGCAGTAAAGACCAACCCTCTTTGTGGACACCTAAACTCTGTAGACAGACACTGTGTTTAAGGAGACAGCTTGTGCTCTGAAGGGGAATTCCACCATTTTTTCTGGTTCATTGTAGAAAAAGCCTGGACTGGTTTACAGTAGCAGTGATGGGAACCAGTGGTTGCTATAGCTGGAATGCAAATTTAGCCATTTTATAAACTACGCAGAGATCCAACATGTGCCTTCTTGTGTGTTTCTATATGTAAATGTTAATGATGGTATAATATTAATAAACTATGTTTTCACTGGGGACTGTTTTGCTGTACAATGCCCTGCATGTACACCTCTGCCATAAATGAATGTTAAAACATATATTTAAGCCAAAAGCTCATCTCAAAACTTATAAAATAATGCCTCAGGCACCAGGCAGTGTATTCGTAATCATGCAATAGCTTTCTGTGAGGTGTTTTTCAGAAGCAGATAACTGGTTCCTATCACCACCACTGTGATCAATTCTGAGTCTGGAAGTTTCTCCAGAACTAAAGCACTTCACATCCGATACCTCTCAATTACTTGTTTATATTTTTATGATTGATTTAAGCAGAAATCTTGAAAAATTAGTGGCATTCCCCTTTAAAACCAAAAGTCTGTTCATCATTCTTGTTATTGCTATGTTAACTGATCTGGCTCTGAAAAACTAGTGTCAATAGTGACCGTATTACTAATGAAACATACAGTTTAAATCTGTTATTGCAATTATATTCATATGAGTCCTTATTTAGATGTACATTAATAGAGTCTAATTCACAGGTGAGAGGAAAAAACAAACATTCTTAACGTCAATGTATGTTAATTTAACACAATTTTATTCCATGTAATTTTGGACCACCTCTGTTGGTCCCTTCTTCACAATGTTCACACAACATAGAAAACATAAGGTGGTATTGAGATGGTAATTTGTATGTGTGTGTGTGTGTGTAAAACGTCTTTAGACTGTGTCAGTGTTAAGTCAGCAGCAGAGCCTCAGCGATGTCTGCTGCGCTCTTTGTCCTTTGATTTCTTAGGGCTTCGACTACGATCCCGTTTGTGGCTCTTCTCCTTGTGCTTACCGTGTTTGTGGTGACTGTCTCTCTCTCGTTCTCTATCTCTGTCCCTCTCTCTGTCTCTGTCCCTGTCTCTATGCCTGTCCTTCTCTCTGTCTTTGTCTCTGGACCGAGATCGCGAACGTTGCCTGCCCTCTTTTCGGTCTCTTCGGCTTTCGTCTGCATCCTGAAAGAGAAACGCACAGAGAAAGAGACGTGCAGTCATCCTTCCACATCAGTATCTCGATTTAAATCAGTGGTCCAGTAACATGTATATGGATCATTCTACCAAATTGGTTTAAAGTCAGAGTTGAAAACATATTTTGGACTTTTAACTGATTTGGACTTTAGGCTAAAATCCTTTTGCTTTGAGTGACCCTGTACCTTAATTCTGTTTATTTCTGTTTATTAAAGCAAATGAGTGAAGATTTCATTTGATCACTAACAAAACAATCATAACACTACTGAAACTGAAAATGTTTCACTGGTGACAATTTTAGCTCAATTTGAGCAGAACTCAAAAACGCTAGACAGTCTATGACTAGCAGACACAGCTTTGAACAGTTTTAGACATGCATAAAATCGGAATATTTTTCAATACAACACAAAAAAGTTAATTGCAGAAAATGTGTTTCAGTAGTGACAATTCTTAATCTTAATTTCTTGAAACAAGAGGATCTAACTGCTCACCATGTGGCCATGAGGGACAGGGATGCAGTCTCACTTCCTGCTCTAAAATGCAGGAGTGTAACTAAAATTTAACCATTACTATTTCATTACTTAATGTTACATAATTATAATTTATTTATTATATAATTAAATTACTTTTTAATCATTACTTTAGCTCGAAAAAAGTGGCTGAATCAGCCTAGTTAGTTATAGTACATACTTAAAAATAATGGTTCTTCAACAGTTCTATATAGAACCATTTTCTTTACTGAAGAACCATGAATATGCAAAGTACTCTCTGCATGAATAAAGGTACTCTGCATCATTAAAGCGTTCTTCAGATTGCTGGATAATGTATTGTAGGTGGTTCTACACATAACCTTTTTGAAAAGGGTTCTATATAGCACCAAAAAGTGTTCTTCTATTGGTACAGGCTTGACATCGTACACTCTTAAAAATGATACTTCGTCAAGGGTTCTTCAGTAAAGAAAATAGTATATATAGAACCATGAACACTCAATGAACACTTTGCATGATTTAACTGTAAATGGTTCTATATAGAACCTTTTTGAAAAGGGTTCTATACAGCAAAAAAAAGGGTTCTTCTACTGTTACAGGCTTGATGTTGTACACTTAAAAATGATGGTCCTTCAAGTGTTCTTCAGTAAATGATACTCTATAGAAACACTCAAAACAGCTCTTTGCATGATTAAAGGGTACTTTGCATCATGAAAGTGTTCTTCAGATTGATGGAGAACGTGATGTATATGGTTCTATGTAGAACCTTTTTTGAAAAGGGCTCCACAGAGCACCAAGAAGCGTTCTTCTATTGCTTCGATGTCGAGCTTGAAACAATAGAAGAACTCTTTTCAAAAAGGTTCTAAATAGAACAATCTATAGCATGTTCTCCATCAATCCGAAGAACACTTTCACAATGCAAAGAACCCTTAAACCATGCAAACTTAACTAGAGGCGGCACAATAATACCACTTTTTCCTGTTCCGATACATCAAAACATTTGAGTAATATCTTGCCTTTTAAAAACTACTAAGCTTTAAAATGAGCTATTTCTGGCTTATATTTGGCTAGCTCAATGTAGAGACGCTTATCTTGCACTTAACTTACATTCAATTAAATATCTATTAAATTCACCTTAATCTTCCCAAACCTTAACCTAAACCTTGTCCTAAACCCAACCAGCAGTTCACTTATGATGAGCATCTAAAAGTATGCCATCAAGCACAAACTACTCAGTGAGTGTGTGATGTTTCAATCTATGTTCGTTAAAGGATTGGATCAGATTCATCCAGGATTTCAGCTTCATCTCTAGGCTTAACCAACAGTTGATAGCTCTAAATGCTAAGATGACCAATTTAAGCACATAAAAATGCTACTTTCAATGAATATGTCTGAAAAAGCCTGGAACATGCCTGGCAGATCATCAAAAAATTAGATGCAATGTTAGATAAATCAAATAGATTATAGGCTATTGAGAACAATATTAATTAAAAGATAATGCCTGCCAGATGAGGTGAGGCTTAAGCTTTAACTATTGTAAAAATATTATACAGACCACTGCTTTGTATCTACTACCACACATTCATGAAGCCATCTGTTTCTCTGTTCTCCAGAGACATCAAATTTGACTAAGTATAAATGCTGCTGAGCAAAAAACACGTGGGAAGTCTCCATAAGTTTTGTCTCCAATTTTGGTTCTCCATCAGTTTCTGAACTCTGTTTTGACTGTGTCTCAACAGTCTGTTTATTCAAGCTAGAGTGAGCCAAACTCAAAACTTTGTTTACTCATTTCATCTTCCAATTTACTGATCTGTACCTTTGATTTCTTTGACTTCCTGCCGTCTTCATCATCTGACTGTCGCCTCTTCTCTCGCTGTTTCCTATCATCCTTCCGATCGACTTGCTCCTCGTCATCATCTAGGAGAAGCTCGTAACGGGAGCTTGCAGTAAACTGTTACGGAAAACAAACCACCCAGACGTTTCTGACCAAAGTCCCATTCAGTCTTGCTGAAATACAGAGCTTATTCATGCAGTCTTCTTGCCTAAGAACAAGGCTTAGAACTGCACATTTGGAGAAATCTGGTTATTACGCATTTGTATTAGTGCATCCAAGCTAGAGCTGGGCGATACGGCCAAAAATGTTATCACGATAAACAAAATTCAAATCGTTCGATATCGATACATATCGCGATAAATGTCAAATCATGATTTCTTTCACTTTGAAGGCTGATTTTGCTCCTGGGTGGTTAACTGCTGTTTTAAACTATCCTTTATGTTCAGAACATGACAAACACTCGCCAAACAGTGGAACATTTCACAAATCTGTCATGGGAGAGTGGGAGAAAGTGTCTGGTGAGCTGTTTTTCCAGCTGGAAAAGCATGGTTATTTTTGTAATAGTCATCACAGTATTGTAATGTGACATCACAGTATTCAGACACCAGCTAGCGACGACTGGATTTCTCTATACTATCGTAGTAGGTTAAGGGGTGAACCGCAATAAATCTAACACCAGACAAATGGAGTCCTCCTTTTAGGTACGTTTAAACTGAAAGCGGTGCTTTTGTGTCGTGTTTGATCCACAGTATCGTCAATTCTCCGTGTTGTGTGAGTGACGGAGTGCTGCTTCAAGTTAGCCAGCTACTAAAAACAGCTAGCTTGGAAAGCTAGCGCTCTCCTGCTCTCCAATGCCTCACAGCTTCCTCAGTTTACTTTCGTTTAAATCAGGGCTGTAACTCACATGAACTCACTTCTTTCTTTCGCTTTCGTTGCTTGGGAATGCATTCATACTTAAATATGACTGTCCGAGCGCTGTAACAGCGCTGTAGTTGTGAGGATTGTGATTGTGAATTAACGCTGCTAAAGCTGGTTAGAATGTACGGAAAGAGGTGAGTTCGCTGTAGGACAGTACAGTTACACCACTTATCTCGTCACTCACACTCGGTCACAGGAGAGCAGATCGCCGGTCGCTCCACTCAAACAGGGAACGTATAACTCCGCGTTTCAGACATTGCAAAAGACTCATCTTACTCGGGCCCCCTCCCTCTGTAAATCATGTGGTATTCTGTATTTTGCTGAAAAAAGTATAGGATACTCTTGTTTGGGTTTGGCTTTGTCTTTCAGAGCCAGTTTGGATCTGTTGTCCAGGTCTTTCTCATAGGCCTTGAAGTCATCTTTAGTGTACTTCCCACCTATACACAGACAGAAAAGGTCAAATTAATGACTTGAAAAAAATTCAACAAGCTCCCGATTGCAGACCACAGACACCCCTAGGACTACACGAATCTATAGCACAAAGTGGTAAGTAAGCGTAACCCCCACATACCTTTGCCCTTCCATTTGATCTTGGACACAGACTGGCTAAAGTCCACATGAATGCGTCTGTCATCAATCAGCACGTTGTCCATCTTAAAGTACGCTTTCTCACAGTCCTCCACCTGGACACACAAGTTAGCAGTTGTATGATGACAATACCTATGAAGAGGTGATGCAATGCAAAAACACTCAACATAACTAGAGGAAAATGAAATGTAAATTAATAAACAGACAAAGCACACCTATAAATACCAAAAATCTCACAAGCAGTTTCTTTCACAAGTAGCCATGTTTGTGATAACATTTCAGGCCTTATATGTGTACAAGTAAACATACAACACAATGTATCAAGTGTATGCTTCAGGCTCAGTTTCTGAAGATGGATCATCTAAATGTGAAATCAATCTATATGAATTTTATACAAAGTTTTCTCAAAGGGTCAAAAGTACCAGCAAAATATGCATGATCTCTCCTGAAATCCCTTTCTTGATATTTGGTTCACTGACAGTGATCAGAGTCCTGTAAACCAACTGTGATGGATGCAAAATTGATTGCATGCTGACCCCTAGCGGTGTTGGACTTAATTTATATTTAAAAGCAGATTTTTGGTCACATACAATCAAGCAGTCAATCAATTTATCATTTTCATTTTGACCAATTTGTATTGAAATTGCGCAGTGGGTAGTGCTGAAATCTAAAAGCAAGAAGGGTCTGGGTTCGGTTCCCCGGCTGGGTAACCAGGGTCCTTTCTGTGTGAAGTTTTCATGTTCTCCCCGTGTCTGCGTGGGTTTCCTCCGGGTACTCCGGTTTCCTCTCACAGCCCGAAGACATGCAGTCAGGCCAACTGGATATGCTAAATTGCCCCTAGGTGTGAGTGTGTTGTGTATATGTCTTGTTTGTCTGCCCTGTGATGGACTGGCGACCTGTTCAGGGTGTATCCTGCCTTCGGCCCAGTGACTGCTGGGATAGGCTCCAGCCCCCTTCATGACCCAGAAGCATGAGCGGTTTATAAAATGTGTATGTGTGTGTGTGTGTGTGTGTTTTGCAATTTTAATATGCAAATAAAGTGAGGCAGGTAAGTGCTCTGTGTCTGAATGCTGCTACACCTGTACCACAATGTCATAGCATAATTATGCATGACTCATTGTGTTAAACAGCCAGCTGCAGTAATTCATTTGATTCATGTTACTGAAATAGGCAAGTGATTTCTTCATTTGAGAGTTTGAAGTGCCAGTGTGACCCATTAAAAAGAAATTAAAATTACGCTGTTACTCTGCCTAATAGAAAAAGTGTTTTAATAAATATCAACCATCTGGAGATTGAGCTGCAAAAATAATCAGAATCTGCCAAAAAAATTAATCCCTATGTGCTACTCATGATTACATTTTTACTCAGGGACTGCAGCTGTGTTTTTTTTTTCTTGATAGCAGTGGTAGGATTAATAATAGATTTGGCACAAACCTTTTCAAACTCTATGAAAGCGTAGCACAGAGATTCGCCTGTCTTCCAGTCCCTGATGATCTCACAACTGCAGACAAACAAACAAACTCATTAGCCAGAAAAAACCTTATTGTTTCCTCTTGCCCATCCCTCTCTCTCTGTCTGACTGGCTAAATATGAATAATGTAGTTTCAATTAAGGTGGATGGCAGTGGTATGAAATCTGACCTAAAAACTAAATAACTATATAAATAAAGCAAAATAGGCAAGCAATATAAAAGAAATAGTCGTTGTGACTTAAGGGTTCAACTGAGTCAGTCAATTGAGGTACTTAATCAGATTCAGTGTTCAGTGTTGTGAAATTCTCTGAATTCAGTCTGACTAAAATCCATTTCCAGTCAGTGAACAACCTGAAAATGAACTCATAAGTGAGATTCACTGGTATTTTTAAATCAGATTTTTCAAATAATTAACTTATTTCAGCTCCAGAAATATCTTTGACTATTCCAGCTCGATCCATTTTACTAAGAGTGATCCTATAACATACTTTTTAAAGACACCCTCAAACTCCCACAGACTGAAAGCTCTGCATTTAACATACAGAAGACCCATCATTCCACAATTATTACTGTCAGACTGAAAACTAAATACAGTGCATTATCATACTCGATTAAAATCACTCTGCATTGTTAGACTGACTATACAAATTATACAAACTAGAGATTCATACAAGTTTAAAATTACTCCCCAAATATTACCATCACACTGCAACAACTACACACACTAGAGATTCATACTGAATTACAATCACTCCACAATTATTAGTGGCAGGACTGTAAAAACTACACACACTGCAGATTCATACTGGATTAATGTCACTCCACAATTATTACTGTGAGAGTAAAAACTATACACACTACAGACTTGCACTGGATTAAAATCACTCTGCGTTGTTAGTCAGACTATAAAAAATTATACAGATTACAGATACATACTAGATTAAAATTACTCCCCAAATGTTACTTCCACAAAGGCAAAAACTACACCTACTATAGATTCATACTGGATTGAAGTCACTCCACAATTATTACTGTCAGACTGTAAAAACTATACATACTACAGACTCATACTGGATTAAAGTCAGTCCACAATTATTATGGTCAGACTGCAAGAACTACACACACTGCAGATTCACACTGGATTAAAATCTCTCCACAATTATTACTGTCAGACTGTAAAAACTACACACACTGCAGATTCATACTGGTTTAAAGCCGTCTGTAAATATTAGTACCTCCTGTGAAGATGTTAAACCCCGAGAAAAGGATTTTGGGTTTTACGTGTGGCTTACTGGCAAGGTCTGTGAGGGTGAGACGACCATTAGGATGGGCAGGACCAAAAGCAGAGTGCACAAGCAAGTAGTTTATTTACACAATGTGAAAACAAAAACTGTACAAAAGGAAAAATAAATGGAAAATAAAGTATTTACAGTGTGCACTAAGGTCAGGCTTAGTCATGGCATGGGAAGCAGCCGCGAGACTGCGTCCCAACTCCCTTTACAACTTCCCTCACACTATTACTTCGGACACTACAAGCTGCTAGTGTTTTCCGGTGGCAAACAGTCATGAGGAGAAGTAGCCTCCCTCTCCGAGGAACCCTTGGGTTTTAAGTCTAAAGCCCCGCCCTCGGAGATCCCATTCCCCACCATGAGGTCAGAACAGTGCGGTTTACACATGAAACAAACGATAGCGCTATATACAATCAACCTAGGTTAAATAATTCATTACCAGTATATACATTTTCTTGGCCATTAACTTATAACAACTTAACTACTTTCTTCTTCCCCCACAGGGTATTAGATGAGGCATAGACCCCCCCCTTTTCTCCCCATCGGTGGATCCTCCCGATAAGGATAAGGTACGCAGGTCTCCCTGCTGTCCCCCTTTTACTATTTTCCCATTCACAGGCAGACACAGGTAAGTACCTTCCCATACACACACACACACACATGTATTTTATAGTTCAAGGGATGATATTCATTAGTGATGGGGTAGGCCTCACCTTACCATATCACACTTCCCCAGTTAGAATTAATCTAGTTCAAATAGGGCTTTAGATGAACTAATTTAAAAAATATGCTGAATGAATGAGACAAAAGCAGTGAGCACTATACCACTGGATTTGGCCGAAGCGGGAGAAGATGATCTCCAAGTCCTCATCTGTGGTGACTGGGTTCAGCTTACACACAAACAGCACGTTTTCCGGAGGTCTGATGTCTGCATCAGGCAGGTCACCCACCTAAACCACACACAGGGTCTTCTTTTTGATGAACACATCAAACATTCAAATCTAAGATGTTTCTGTGTCTCTCCATGTCCATCGTGTCTTACCATCTCCAAGAGTATGGCCTGAGTCTTTGCTTCCTTTTCTTTTAGTAACTCATCCAGCTCCTCAGGATCCTTCCCTTCAGTATCGTTTACCGATTCATCCGCTCCAATACGGCCGCTCTGAAACACACACACCAAAATCATCACAGAGAAACTAAAAAAAAGAGGGCCAAGTTTTTTCCTCTGCTCAACCAGGTCTGTTCTTCAATTTGTTTTGGTCCCTGTAGGATCAGTATCGGTCACTTCTGCCTCAGATACAGTCTGACTTCATTAAAGACAGAACTTATTACAGCTCACATTAATTGGAGCAATCATGTTCACTGTTTCTGTTTTTGTCAGTGCATTTAAAGGGGATTTGGGGAAACATGTAATTCAGGGTTCAACAACAACGACTGCCCGGGGCAAGTAAACGCGATGTCGGGACAGCAGCGCGAACAATCATGTTGGGGTGGGAGCCGCAGTGTGTTAACAGAACAACGTAACTGAGGCCAAACTCAACTCACTTGAATATATAACATACAAACATGGTCTTACCCATTCGTCCAGTTAAAACAAACCAATGGTTTTATGTGTTGATAAACGTGAGGTGCACAGGAAAATGTCGGTGAAGCGCGAATACGTAGTAAGAGTCTGCAGCTTCATTCCCTCATGGAAAACTCAGTTCTCATGGCTCAATTTTGACCCCTCTATACCTGAGATGTTCTGTAAAGTTTGTGGGGAAAATCCTGACAAAGCAGATAAATGTGGTTCTTTTTTGCCTGAACTACACCTTTTAGGAAACAGTCGCTTCAGTGTCACAAGTCTTTCTGTTACATTGCATGTGTAGCAGCGAAAAAAAAGCTGCTAGCGCGTCTCGACATGTGCATACGACGAATGAACAGTGAAGCAGATTCCAGGTTGGCCAAATTAGTCACAACAGCATATCTTATACGGTTAAGAGAGAAAGACCCTTCACCGACTAGCCACATGAAATAGATCAAATTAGATCAAATTGAAAATGGACTGGAACTTGGTAGCCAGTATTATACTGATACTGAAGGTAAGGTAATATTTGCTAACTTATGTGTGCAAATGCTAACGTCAAGATTATTGATAACTTTAATGTGAATTTATTTATAGTAAAATAGAAATAAAAGTCAGTGGTAGGAATTTGAGCAGTTTTGTTAAAAAACATTTTATTTTAAGAATATATTAACAAAATATATTAGTTTATGTGTGCTTATTTATAACACCTTAAAATACAAAGATTTGTTCAGGACAGTAGGAATTTGTTTCGGGGCAGTGAATTTTTTCAGGAAGAAAAGTTAACATTGAACACTAATTGCAAGTAAAGTGCCGAAGAACATTGAGTACCGTGGGACCTGCTTCAGACCCCTTCACTGAGTAGATGAATCTGATGACTGTGAGCACGTTGAAGGCATATTCAGAGAACTCAGTCAAAACTTGGTGAAGGACGTGTCTTACAAGGATGTCAGTGAACAATCTATTATTGTTATCATCAGTGTAATACTGATTTTGCATTTGAGTCATATGAGAGGTATGGCATGGTCTGAAAAATTCCTATAATATCCAACATGACTTTTCAACTATAATCTCAGGATTTACAGAGAAACTCGCAGCAGCACACGCACACCATATTTCAGCTTACTTTTTTCTTCTGCTACTTCTTTCTGTTTTAACCGAAAAATCGTACATAGTGCAGCTTAAAATAAACACTGAATATGTTATCACTGTACATTAAATAAACACTATTAATATGACAAGTGCTTCCACATTTTGACAAACTCTGCCATCTAAGGTTGGGCAATATTAATTTTTCAAAATTGATGACATTCGCTGTTCATATTTGGAAAAAAGAGAGAATCTCTGTAGGACTGAACTCTATCGGCCTAATTCAATTCCTTTAAAAATACCACATTTTATAATTTGGGCACATGGAGGTTTTCCTGCAGCACCCACTGACAGCAAGACATGTTTGAAAGATGTTTTTTTACGGTTTGAAAATTTTCCATTTCCTTTGCAGTAAATCTTGTGACTGATTTTGTGCATTCCATCCATCTCATCCATGTGGTGGTTTCTCAATTGCTCCGATAAGGGCTGGCCGTATCTGAGGCTGATTCTTACATGACTCACACGGCAGCAATGTTACTGACCACAGCCTCAGAGCAAAAATACTGGTAGTTAAGACTTTAATATTGCAAGATAATATTGTTAATCCACCAAAATCACTACCGACTGCTTCCTATAAACACAAAAACATGGTATTCTGATGCACTTTAGCGTACACCTTCTACAAAATGTTGGCTGTAGGCTGCAACACTCACATCCAGCTGTTCTTTAGTGGGTTCTGGAGAACGGTCCGGCACCGGCAGATCTGGGGGGTCATCAAACGGGTCATCCAGAATCACTGTGTGATTTATTCTGAAACCACAGCCAGAAGAAAGGGGAACAAATGAAAAACTGACCATATCAGAGTGACCCTCAGCCATTAGTTAATAAGACCCAGTAAGGACTGCAGACCAAATAGAATAATGACCGACAGCTGTTCAGATGAAGTGTATTTCAACTGGCTTTTTTAAAAAATAAAGAGAAACACTACAATAAGACACACTACATTAAGTAGTAAAATAAATGTAATTGATTTAACCACACTAAGCATAAATAATTGAAAGGTTAACAAATTACCTCTTTTGACCATATAATAAAGTGAAAAACACAAAGCATCAACTACAAATTCTATTTCAAGATGGACTTCTTTACCAAACTGTCTTAACATGTCAAAATGTGATATAAGGCTACATTCTCTTTTCTGTTCTACCTGATGTCCTGATAAGGAACAAAATCCTTGTCCACGAAAGATTCGTTAATTCTGGCCAAGACATCCATGCCCTCCGTTACCTCCCCAAACACGGTGTGAACGCCATCCAAATAGTCTAGATTCTCTCCTGTAGTGATCAGAAACTGTAAAAAAGTAAAATGTAAGCAACAAAGCAAAGCAATGAAAACCTGTGAGAACCATGCAAGACGTACAAACTGGAACACACAAAAATAACACTACACCAAAAAAATATATATGTATATATTTAAGAATACCTTGCAAAAATCAAGTTTAACGTTACAGCTGATAGGAATAATGCCCAGTTTTATTATCATTATTATACGAGCACGTGTGTCTGCAGATGTGTGAAGTGTTATGCTGGTCAATGATATTTCAGTAGGCTAGTTTCTTTGAGATGATAGCTTGTAGGTGGTATTTAGAAGCTCTGGTTTGATCCAAAAATGTAAGAACCACTGTGTTAATACACCAGAGTTTACATACTGCAAAGCAATTAAGCACATAAGACCAGCACACTGGCAAAAAAAGGCACTGTTCTTCCAGTAACGGAATCACTATGGCAACATTTACACGGCTGGATGCCGCCCTTCGGTCACATACCATTGCTGATAAAAGGCATGGAAGGTAACATTTTACTTAAACTTTGCTACACAACACTGACATAACCATGCCATAAACTTGTCATGATAAATGTCACATTACCATCACTGTCAATTGTCATGACAGATGTCATAACGACATTTTATGTCATGACGGTTAACAAAAACGAGCATGTGACATAAGCTGTCATAACAACCATTGTGGTATCTGTCATGATATTTATAAGTAATGGTAACATGACATACAGCTCATGACAGCATATGATATTTTGCATGACGTGTTTACGACCTGTTCACGTTCATGTTATGTAGCAAAGTTCAAGTAAAGTGTTACCGCACAGAACACCTCCCAACACAAACATGTAAACTCAGCATTACTCTTCTAGCACATCTGTAGTGATTGCATGACAGAATGACAGAGTCATGACAGAGAATGACAAACCTGAGAGCCGTGCTGATCACTGCCGTTGTTCACCATGGAAACGGTTCCCTTCTTCTTGTGCTTGATCCGGGGCACTTTCTCAGCATCGAAGAACCGAGCCTGATCCCCATACAGCTTACTGTGGACAAAGACACACAACATTCACAACACCAAGACTCAATGTTCTACAACAAGTACCAACATTAATACTGGCAGTTAGATTTAAAAAGGCTGGTATAAAAGGAGGAAAATGTTCTAAATGACCAACAAGTAGAGCACTCATAAAAATATAATGCTATATTATCTCTATGTCATATCCTGTTATGACAGAGTTTGTTCAGTAATACAACAGTGTCATGTTACCATTACCGGTAACTGTCATAACAGATGACATAATGTTGTATGTCATGGCAGCTTATGTCACATAGTAAGTCATACTGTGCCCTGTATCACATCAACAAGTCTGTGTGACCTTAATGAAGACCTGGATGCAATTTGAGCCGGTTGAGAGAACTTTTGGGGATCTATTTACAGAAAGGATTTGGGTGACTATTAACTTCTACTATTTGTTAGCAGCGTTACCCTCATAGCTTCAGTGCAATACTAAAGAAGCAACATTTGGACACTAAAATCTCTTGGCTGACTGACTACATCTGGGGTAAAGGGAAAAATGTGTAAATGGTATTTTCTGCTGAACCATTCCTTTAATAGCTAAACTGGACAAACACTCTCCTTGCTTTCACTTACATGACTCGAAATGATAAAGGAGCTTCCAACAGTTCAAAACTGGTCAAATCAAAACATTATCACAAAATGTTATTACTGACCAGAACACTGACTCTCCGCCTCGTCCCGTCCCTGTGGGGTCACCAGTCTGAATGATGAAATCTCTCTGAGAGGGAAAGAATAGACAAGCAGTGCAACTGAGTGCATCACTGTATTTTTGTGATAGTAATACAGTATTATAGTAAATTCAGCCTATATGTTAGGTTAACTACAAAGCTGTAAATAATACATACATACAAATTTTGAGAGTGTCTTCTGCTCTTCTTACCTGAACATTGTGAATGAGGCAGTAGTTGTAAAACTTGATCTTACATAGCTTCAGGAAGTTTAAGCAGGCTACAAAACAGATCAAAAACATGACAATAATGACCAGTCAACAATGCTATTATTTAATTTACAGCACTTTACCAATTCACGCTAATTATTCTGAGTAAGCTGACCAATGAATGAGGAACACATGAGGTTAGTCTGAATCTTAGTTTATGGCAAATAATTGTAATAAACTCAGCTCATTTTATAATACAGATACAGAAAGGGACATAATGCTATTCAGTCCATCATATCAGAAGATACGGCCGGTCATGTTGCTGGACTTTCATATGTGCCATAACGCCCACATGCAAACCCCTAGTCAGAAGGTGGCTGGCTAATCAGTATTATAATGATATAGCAACAATCAAAGGTACCGTTAGAACAAACTGAGCACTCCAGTATTAGAAAACAGTCACAATTATCAACAGAGCTGTAACAAAACACTGGGTTGTCTCTATAAGAAAAACAACAACAGCATTTTGAAAACAGCTTCTATTGCACCGCGGTGAACTAAAATGTCCTAAAGCCGACCCTCTGGATTACAAGGTCATTAGGAAGCCAAAATACAAGCAAGCCAACACTGCTGCACATTGAGCTGACATCAAAAAGATACCTTACGCAAAACCCCAAGCTGCTTTGGCAGTAGTACCAGTTTGAGTGTCTAGTGTCTAGTCTACGTAGCGTATACTATGTTTCATGAGACATCATCTCAATGCAAAAGAGTCATAGCTTGTATGCGGCATTAGTATTTTGACTGCTTAAAATGCTGTAATTCAGAGAATTACAAGAAGAATATACATAAGACAGAACGTATCAGGTTTGGAACATTTCCTTGTCTTAGTCGATTTTCGAAAAAGGCATTTATTTTTTTACAAGAAGACAGCAGATACAGAATAATGCACAGCTTCAGGGGCCTATTAGAATGATTAGCTGGTGCCCGTATCGGGTTCCAAATGCAGTAAAATGGACAAAATGCAGATATTTTTGGACAGCAGCCCAGCATCACCTAAGCATTCAGCTCTCCCATATCCCGGTAAATACTTCATCGAACAACGGTTTGAAACATCGATCAAATCTAAACATCTTCCTGATGCCGAGAGTTTTCCTAAACAAATATCTGCCAATACCATATATTGTTTTCAATCATTTGCAGGAGGAGTTTAGTAATTAGGGTGTGTGATAATAAAGTAAAAACTGGACGACTGCAAAACTGGGATAATCCCACTGAATGCCAAACAATTTACATGTCTTATTTTTCAAGTGCACCTCTTCTGCATTTCTGTAGTCTTTTTCATATTTACACGAAGTAGGGTCAGGATGCTAATAATGCACAGTAAAGAACGTCTGTGATTGGTTCAAGAGCCCATTTGCATATCGCAGGATTCTCCAATGTCAACACCGCAAATTTTAATATCGCGATAACCGTTAAATAACGGTAGAGTTGGTACAGTCGACAAATCCTCAAAACAGGCTCGACCTCTCTATAAAGAGATATATCTGAATTTTCCAGAAACAGAGATATATCTTTACAAATATAGATATCTTTGTAAAGAGGTGCTGCAGATACATTTAAACTGATATACGTTTTAACAAAACCTGATTCAGCTGGACTTCATTTAACTTCTCTAGCTAAATGCATTTCCAGAAGATACAGGTAAACTCCTGTATATATATCTAAATAAATATATTTCTAAAGAAATTTTGATTATAAATTTCAATTCGCGTATTTCTACACAGACAGGTCTAGGTTAACGTTACCTGACGAACGTCGTTCATGAATGCTAGCTAACTAACGTTAGCACTGTATCTCTACACCAGCCGAAGAGTAGCTAACGCTGTCTATTTCCCTAAAATAATAAATCCCCCTATATATTTCTAAAGAGCTGACTTCATGATTTAGCAGTACTGTCTGATAAGTCCCACCTTTGGGTCTCTCCTCTGTGTATAAATCCACTACAATGTCTCCTAAAGTTGTTTCCAGCAGCACCGCCATTCTGCTTCAAACCGACAGAGCGCGCACTGCGCATGCGCCGAAAGCTCCTCACGAAAAGTAAAAGCCCCCTCTAGCTGTCTCCAGAGAGACCAGCTAAAAACCAGAAACTCACCCAGAGTCACTGGAAGCTCTGATATAGAGGTTATTTTACAGGCTGTTTAACTTTAAAATGTCTGTTAGTGTTTACATGATCGGCGTCATTGTGCTTTCACACCCTGGCTGTTCTCTGGTTTCTCAGATTGCTGAACTGAATCTCTGTGTTACACTGAATACTGAATCACTGAATACGACAGTTCACTAAAAAAAGATGGTTGTTCAAGTGTCCTTACTAAAGTCAACGGCCCTGTGGTTCTTCGGTGAAAGGCTTCTTCAGATTGAGGGAGAATAAATGATCCTTATAGAACCAAATACAACACATTCTCCATCAATCTGAAGAGCCATTTCACCATGAAAAGAACCCTTTAAACATGAAATGGTTCTACATGGAACTCAGGGTTCTAAATAGGACCATTGGCTTTATTAAAGAACCCTTGAAGAAAACACAAAAGATGTTAATGTTATATAAATATGTTCTAAAAAGACAAAAAAAAAAATACAGTAAAAAAATAGCAGAAGGCTGGTGGGCTGGTAAGCTAACGCTGCTGTCGTTCCTGACAGGATTTCAGCATGCAGGCCTTTAGGCACCATTAAAACAGACAAAAAATTACAAATACAAATAGAGTTATCTGGTCCCAAAAACTTTAAGAATATGAACAAAGATACAACAGATGATTCTTCAACTAAGCAAAATGAGCACAAAGAGAGATTTTATTTTATTCATTGTTTTTAAGTGGCTATATACATGTATTTAAGTGGCTATATACATGCATAATTATGATTAATAATCTCAAAATATACTTCTTGTGTTTATTATGAATGAATGAATTATAAAATGCTCCAGTGTGAATGAGTTTGGTACAACTGATTACTGATTACATGTCTTATAAAATCATGGACTCCCATGATCACGTTTATATGACGATTGTGATCATATTAACTGTGTGTTATTTTTAAAATTAATACGAAAAAGTTATTTTCAGTTCACATGAACACCAAGGCTTCGTCCAATCCTGCATACTACTGTCATAAATTTGTTAGTATGGTACATTCATGACTGTAGTAATTGTAGTACGTATAACACAGTATAGTATGGTTTTCAACGCAGGTCTACAGCTGCAAAACATCGACTGCAACCCAACAGTTCCTCCACTTTATTACTAATATTATTAAAGAAATATCATTATAAACAATACATATACACAGCACTGTGCAAAAGTTTTAGGCATGTGACAAAAGACACATTAAGAAGCTTTTATCATGGCAGAAACCACTCATTCGCTCAAATAAATATAAATAACAATAATGCAGTTAGCTGTGTTTTATGTATGCCAATGGCTGGGGGGGGGGGGGGGGGGCCAGAATTTTTTTTTACAGACTATGTCACAAGATATTACCTATTTATTTCAAAATAAGAAATAATTGTTACTTTCTACTGTATTTCGGTTCACTTGTTTCTGTTCTAATAGTGTAACGTGAGATTTTTACCTACAAAAACGTAAGTATTGTTAAGAGAAATGGTTTTAAACAATATGCAGAAATACAATATCTATCTATCTATCTATCTATCTATCTATCTATCTATCTATCTATCTATCTATCTATCTCTCTGCACACACACACAAACACACACACACACACACACACATATATATATATATATATATATATATATATATAATTAATAATTTTCCTACTTTTAGCTATCATATCTAAAATAAAATGACTCATCAAATTAATCAATCCAATATAATTCAGTACTCCTCAGCTTCCTTCCAAAAACGTTGTGTACAGTCTTGTGTAAATACAGTGGTAAAACAGACAAATTATTATTTCTTTCTCTAGTCCAAAAAAATACAGGTATCTTCTTCTATGAAATTTCTTGAATGACACCTCTTTACCTTATTATTAATGCAGTATTTGTTTTGGATTTTCTATACTTTTTTCCATAGATATTATCAAATAAACATGACCAAAAAAATAAATAAATAAAAAAAACATGGAATGTCACATTACAAAGAATATTCATAACAATGCTTTTTATTACACAAATTTTTTACCATATCAACATTCTCAACAAAGATGTTGCCATTAGTATTGAATAGAGGTGGGTAATTGCTTGACTTCCAACTGCTTGACTTCTCTAATTTGCTCAAACCAGCAGCAAAGGTGTTCAGGCAGTTGGAACAAAATCCTGGGGAGGGTTTTTACTTTTTGGACCTGGATTACCCACCTCTAGTGTTGAATATGGTTAAATCTGATAAACAAGGATTTCTACAAATTGATTGGAATTGCATTAAGAAGAACTGCATATTCTTTTGGTTTTACTACTTTTTTCCAAAAATTCTTTATTATGTAAAAATTGACCATTTGCATTAAGCAACTGTGTCACCAAAAGAATCCCACTATCAAACTTAAACATATATCTAAATATCTATTTTTATTATGTTAAATAACTGTGTGGTGAGCAGTTTAGCTTGCAGACCAGTGTCCATGCTTGTTGCTAGCGCTCTTCATATGTTTGTCTCAAAAGTAAAAATTAGGTTAGTGAGTTGACCAGCTAGCTTATTAATGAGTCAGTGCCTAAAACTCTTAGCTGGCTATTTATGCACAATTTTTTTACCTTACTAAAAGAAGAAATTGTTGAATTTGGACATTGTGATTATTACTTTTCCATTGTGTTTTTTGCCTTTACATTTACGTTTCATAACAAAGCTGTTAAAAAAACACCAGAACCAGAAAAAAGGAGCTCTTCGCACAGAAAATATGTTTGTGTTGGTTTCGGGATCTGGTTAGGGATCCAGAAGCTTTCAAATATTCTTTAAAGCATTTTTTAATCCTGTAGAAAACTATAAAAGGCCGTGGGCTGCATCACAATTTACATATTCATTACTTGTTATGGCCACGTTAAATAAAACGTGTCCTTTTTTCGGACATTCTACACTCTCAGAAATAAAGGTAGTAAACTGTCACTGGGGCAGTTCCCCTCTTGTCACTAGGGTGGTACTTTAAAGGGTACATCTCAGTACCTTTAGTCAGGGAACATAATTGTACCATAATCCATTGAAATTATAGTTGTATTGACTCCACGCACCCCGTCTCGTCTCCAGGCTTTTTGTTTTACTGTTCTGTTTTAAAACATTCGGTTATGAAAAGGTACAAATATGTACTTTTCACCTGGGAAAACTTATTTAAGGTGCACAATTGGACCTTAAAACCACTGTTGTACCTTTGAGGGAGCATTTACATTATTTGTGTACAGACCTCTATCTTTATCCACAACTCTACAGTAATGTCAAGAAACAAAAAGCATTTTTAATATATAACATTTTTCCTTGTTTTAAGTAACGTGATTCTTCTGTACTGCATTTTTCCAAGCAAGCGTACACTTGCCAATGCAAGTAGTCAACTTTACATTTACTTAAAATTAACATTAATCTCTATAAGATATGAAGAAAGGTGCAATACTTAAAAAAACAACCTCCGCCCTCTCACTCTGAATCATGAAGTCCCTCCTATGCAGGAAAAATGAAACTGATCTCAGAGAGCTGCTCTCTCTCAGTCTGTGAGTGCAGGAAAATGGCAGAGGCCAGTATTTCAGCAGATCAGGACCAGTTCAGCTGTCCAGTCTGTCTGGATCTGCTGAAGGATCCAGTGACGATTCACTGTGGAATATAGTTCCTGTGTGGTGTGCATGTTAATGGCTGCAGGGATCAGGATGATCAGCGCTGCCCCCAGTGCAGAGAGACTTTCAGATCTTCCACACGACTACGAGAGAAGATCTGCTCTCAACATGACAAACTGATCGAGATCTACTGTCGTACTGACCGAAGATACATCTGTTATTTGTGTACGATGCACGAACACAAAGGCCACGATACAGCTGCAGCTGCAGCAGAGAGAGCTGAGAGACAGGTGAGAATTACAGTCTTTCAGAATTAATTCATGTGAATTATATTAATAATTATAGAATCGTTTTCATTTGCCAGTCACAAGTAGAAATTAAACTGTTATGGTTGTTCATGTTAATTTTGAAATGATTTATTGAAAGTCATACAAGGAAACGTTACAGAAATGTGTTTGTACTTGTTGACAGTAAGTAATAAACAGGCAAACTTCAAACGTGTCTGTACAAAAAGAAAGAATTTTAACTATTCAGCCACCATTAATTCAAACCACTGAATAAAACGTATCTGTTCAAAGTCAGTTAAGAAAGATTCAAGGGGAACACCAGCATAAAATCCAGGAGAAAGAGAAGAAGTTGCAAGAGCTGAAACAGGCTGTGAACACTATTAAGGTGAGAAGTGAGCAGAGATCTGCTGAAGCAGCTACTTCACACCTCAGTCAGACCCTCCTCCAGTCAGATATTTCAGTAAGAACATTTTGGGGTCCTACACAACTACAATGTAGACAATAAGTCATGACAGAATAAGTGATAGAGCTTTTAATGGAGCTCCATCTGGTCTGTGTGTGTCTAACAGAGCTCTGCACAGACAGCAGTGGAGGACAGTGAGAGGATCTTTACTGAGCTGATCTGCTCCATTGAGAAAAAGCGCTCTGAGGTATCAGCGCTGATCAGAGCTCAGGAGAAGACTGAACTGAGTGGAGCTGAAGAGCTCATTGAACAGCTGGAGCAGGAGATTGCTGATCTAAAGAGGAGAGACACTGAGCTGGAGCAGCTTTCACACACAGAGGATCACATCCACTTCCTCCAGGTAACAACCACTGTCTGAAGTACGAAAGGACTGGATTGCCTTAAGTACTCTACTGCATTACTGTGCAAAAGTCAGAGACCATTGATTTATTGATTTTCCAGTGAAAACAGCCATTAAGTACGTTATTAGCTTTTCAGAAAGATTTTGCTGAGGAGATTGGGTATACTTTCCTTGCATTGCTTACATTAACATGCAACTACACACCATATCTGCCTTGTAAATGTCTTTCT